AAAAGAAACCCACATCTGGAAGACACAGTGACCTTGTATTAACTACTTGCTGCTGTAGTGTCAGGCCTCCCCCACCCACAAGAAGTTGATCCCTGTTGCCTATTTCCCTGGAACCCTGGGAAGATTTAGGAGCAAGAAAATATTTAATAAAGCTACACTAAGTGTAGCTTTAAGGAACAAAAGATGAAAATTGAACTTTTGAGACTTTAGAGTAGTTAAACTTTAACATTATATTTTGCCTTTGCTTTTGTTACTTCCTTGACTACTAATGAATAACATGCTGACAAAAACATTGTATGTATGTCACTCTCACTAGTTCAGAACCTTGTCAGATCTTTCCTATAGCTTGCTTACTTTCACTGTTGATGAAATTAAGAGAATTGTTGATTCAACTTATTCACCAAAAACATGTTTGCTTCTTCCAAGCATCCATTTTGTTGTTGTTATTGTTGTTGTTCATATAGTTAACAGTTTTATAAAGTTTTAAAAACAGAGGGTAAAGATTGCAGGTTACTGAGAATAAAATTTGTGCCTGGGGAGGGAGGGAGGGAGGAGGAGAGAGAGAAAAAAAATTTTTATATTTATGTTAAACATTCTCTTTCTCTAATTTGTGATTATACTCTATAATTCTACACCTTCACAGGTGAATATAGTTCTATAATCCTATACTTTGATGATTAGCTCTTGAATTTTTACTTATTTTATTATTATTATGTGTCTCTGTGTATTTGCTCATCTTCCTAATCTTTAAAGACCAGTATCAATCTTAAAGACCAGTAAATTTGCTTTGTAATTGACCTTTTCATGATGTGCTCTGCCAAAACTTTAAATTTCATGGGTAAAATTGCAGAGTTTCTGATTTCCATTGAAATTCGGCTTGGTAATGCAGATTCATGGAGATAGTGTTGTTTAGTGGAAAGACTCCAGAATTTGATGTCAGACATCTAATACTAAAGCATGTGTTCTGATGGTAATACTTTTTTCCTACATGATCTTGGAAAAGCTATCTAACTTTTCTAACTCGCATCTGTTTTATTGAGAAACAGATGAAGGTTAGAAAACAGTTTTTAATTTTGAAATTATAATGCTTTAAGGAAAACAACTAAAAATTGTAGCACTTAACTACATACTGGGTACAGTACTAATAAGCATGTTGCTATATTAATTTAATCCTCATAACAACACTAAGAGTTATTGTTATTATCATCTAAATTTTATAGTATGTAAACAATTATATACAGCTCACAAATTTCTTAATGGGCATATAATTTTCATCTTAAATGTAAGTAGTGGCAAACAATTTCTAGCATATTAAAAACATTGACTTTTTAATACCATTCTTACATGTGAAATATATAACAATTTAATAACTACTATCAGTCATTTTTTAATAAATGAGTAAACTCTTTAAGAGTCAGAAATATCATATCATAATGTTTACTCCTTAAACTCATATTTGCCCTCCATCTACCCTATAGAATTTATGATAATGTGATATATAATTCCTGTTTGCAGGAACTTTTTATCAACTCAATTTCTTTAAAAGAAAGGCACATATTTAAATTGAAATTCCTTTTTAATATCCAGGGACCACAGGAATATTAAAGTTTAAATATATTATGGATTTATCATTTATTAATAGTTCCTAGCTGATCACAACATAAATATATTACACATTTTAATAAATAATTGTTAGATATTATTAAAATGAGATTAATAAGCTAAAGATTTTCTATTTACTTCATATAGTATATTACTATTACTTCTAAAAGGGAAAGTATTCAGCATTAATTCTGTTTCTGGTTTTTGTTTAGCACTGAGATAACTTTATTCCCAAATAAAAAATAAATAAATAAAAGTTTTATAACTTACTCAGTTCTTTATACAGCCTCAGAATTATATGCCAAGAGTTGTGTTTGTTAATAAAAATGTTTTAATATCCTAGCACTAACAATTAAGTTAAGTTCCCCTTCAATTATGTTGAGAAGAAACAATCAAAGCCACCTAATTTGCAAAAAGATTTGTTTCCCAGTCATTAGAATCTTGCATGTTCTGAGACATATAACAGATAGGCTCTGTCAATACTTGCTTATCAAATTACTTGAAATTATACTTTTTTGGACCTTGCTTTACTTATCTTTCTTAGTGAGAGCACTTTTTCCCCCACTGGGGACATTGAGTATGGTTAACTTCAGTAAATTCTTGCTAAAAGAATTTTTTAAATTCTTTTATCTGAAGACATGTATTAACTATCTTTTGATAAATTCCTTAGTTTACCCAATTTCTGGGAAATTTCCACCTACTAACCTAACTAGCAAAGCCAATTTTCACTGTCATGCCAGTCAGTCAAATAATAAGAAAAAAAACAAAGGATGTTCTAATTTTTCCAATTAAAATTAATGTGTATTTATACATTTTGAGTAATTTTATAAACATTTCTTCAATAAAGAAATGGTTGAGGAATATATAAATAATAAATAATAAAAGAATATGTAAAGTGTAAATAAATACATCCTAAAAAAATAGGTCATTCTTTAATGAAGTTAAAATTAAGACAGTATAATCTAATCTAATACAGTTGATTTTGAGGGAATCAATTCCCAGATCCTCAACTTCCATGTATACTCTTAGCATACTGAAAAGTCGTAAAAATCTTATGTCTCTTCAAATGCACACATTTAGAACCTGTCAATATACAGGTAAGCTTATATGTAACTTACTGAAGAAATAAAATTCATTTATAAAATACAGACACATAGTTCTGAAAAATCTGTGCTATTTATAAACTCATTAACCTAATAGCTAGTATATATGTAATTTTTGTTAAAAGGATGTTGAAAATATTAACATTTTATAAGATGTAGATTGCTAAATTGAAAAAAAAATTGTAACAGTTTGATAAGAATAGCTTTAAGTCTTAAGTCTAACTGTATGGCATCTATGAGGAATCACATAAAATATAAATTTCATTCTGACCTTTTATCTAATTTGAAAAAAATGAAATTGCATTGAAAACACTCTGCCTCTGACAAGTACTACTTTAGCTATTCAAAAATAGTTATTCTCCCAGCTAACAACAGATCACAGGAATGATGTTTGAGAATGTTGTCACTTTGTTCCTGTCAGTCTCTTTAAGAGGAGTGAACAATTTAGTAATACTTAGGAGTACAACCCCTGAAGTTTTTTCCTCTATATTATTGTATAGTTGATAATAGCTTTCCAATCAGGGTTAAACAACTCCTAATTCCATTGCCATGCTTTGCACCTAATAAAAACCCATATACCAGCCTCTTTATATCAGAGGTATAAAGTCCTTTCTAGAACATAAAAAAAGAAAACGCATGTAAACAGGAAAGAGTGGAAGACTATAGTGGTTTTATCTTGTTTCAATTAATGAGTAATTAAGGTTTTCCCCAATCATTATTTTGAACTTTTCTCTTTGGCACCATAGAGATTTTTATACTGCAAGGCAATATACCCTATTAATGTAATGAATGGAGGGAATAATATGTCTTTTCTCTCTCTTTTTTTTTTCTCTTAAGAACAGGAGAGTAAAGAATACTGTAGAAAAGGGAGGGCAGGCAGAGAACTTTCAGTATGCTAAGAGTATACATGGAAGTTGAGGATCTGGGAATTGATTCCCTCAAAATCAACTGTATCAGCTCACCTCTTAAAAAGTCTCCACTTGTGAGGAGGCACATGCCTGTAATCCTAGCAGCTTGGGAGGCTGAGGCAGGAGGATCTCAAGTTCAAAGACAAATTCAGCAAAAGTGAGGCCCTAAGTAACTCAGTGAGAACCTGTCTGTAAATAAAATACAAAGTAGGAATGTGGCTCAGTAGTTAAGTGCCCTTGAGTTCAATCCCCAGTCCCCCCAACCCCAGAAAAAGTCTTCACTTATTTTTGGCTCCATTAAACTGGCATGAATTAAATAATACACTTTTCAGTTTCTACCAGATGCTAAATAATTAATAGCCTATTGGCTGTATTATAATGGTGAAAATATTTGCGAATCACTATTATAACTATGTCATTATTCTCAGGTTTTAAATAGAAGTCATCATGAGGAGTTCACTTATACTACTGTTTAAGAGATTTAGCAAGAATTGTTTTAGTAACTGTCAAACAAAAGATGTCCATGCATTACCATTTTAATTTGGCCCAGTTTCAGTCTGCTGTGAAGTGCCATTTTATAAATTTAGAAATAACAGTTTAGTCCAAAGTCTATAAAGAAGTCAGCCATGAGACACTTGAGATTCATGCTACATTACAGTTACCACCAGTGTGGAGTAGACAATCTCACCTAGAGCCAGTGGAGGAAATGGAGGAAAACTGTAGTACACCAATACTGTTGTAAAAAGTAGGCAGCATTCTAAGCTAAGTTCTCAAAGGGAACTTAAACCTTTTACATTCAAGAAAAAAATTGCCATTCCTTAATCCCATGGCTTAATATTTATTGAAGCAGAAATAGAGAAAGAATAGACTTGTTTGAATAGGTCTTCTGGAGGAGGTAAAGAGCAATTTTTATTGATTTGATACCTGTGACTCTTATTAGAAGTCTTTCTAGCTAAAGATTAATATTAAAGCTATTTTCTAGGAAATCGCATAGCTGAACTGAAAGAGTGGTTTATATTGGAATGATTCAGATTTGAAGTATAACTATTATGATAGGTTGCTAAGAGGTGATTTTTGAGAACTAAGGTCTTCTTTTTTCTTTGCTTTATCATTAAATGAGAAATAAGGTAATATTCCTTATCTATGTTTTGTTTATTAGTAAAATGGAATTAGAAGTGTAGCTCTAAAGCTTAAAAGGAACAGTGTAAGAATTTGAGATATTTTGACACTTGAAATGTATAATGCAAAAGGATTTCTTAATAAATTACAAAAAGATAGTAGAATTCATTTTTAGTTTTCAGTAAATTACTTAATCTCAAACAATTTCTTATTTTACAAAAACTTCACAACTTGGTAATAAAATTGCTTAAGAATGCATTTCCTTTAGTAAAAGATGATGACTGCGACTCAGATGCAGAAAATGAGCAAAACCATGATCCTAATGTTGAAGAGTTCCTGCAACAACAAGACACTGCTGTCATTTATCCTGAGGCACCTGAAGAGGACCAGAGGCAGGGCACACCAGAAGCCAGTGGTCATGATGAAAATGGTAATTGGAATTTAACACTTGTTTTTCTTTCTCTTTAAAGGATTATTTTTTTCTGTTACTGTACTGTGGAAACCTAATCTACTATGGAGAATACTTTTGAGAACCAAATTATTTCAAGTTCCTATAGGGAGTAGTATGTTTTATTAATGGGACATTGTCCTTTATAACAGTGCAATATTAAATTATTGGCTGTTCATGTGTGTAGTGTTAATGCTCCTGCATGTAAAATGCTTAGAATGGTTCCTGGACATGAATTTCCACTTATTCAAATGGCAGTGGGCAGCAGAAATGAGAACTAGGATGATTCTTATTGTCCTTCAGCTGTTTTCCACTATTCTTTTAGTAAGTGAAATAGTCATGTGGTTCAAAACATACTAATTTGGAGATAGTAGTTTTTTTGTATATACTTTAGTGTGCTCTGATATGAACACTTAGTGCATTAAAAATGGAGAAAACACAGTTTAAAAATGTGTTCTGCACTCCTGAGAAAAAATAAGCTGTCATTCTACTCTTCTAAGTGTAAAAAAAGATGAAAATAGCATTAAAATGTTCCTATAAGAAATTTTATACGAGATCTATACCAAGACTAGGAAGGTATTTGCAAAAGTTAAGTATTTGTAAAGATTAATATTCTACATATGGCTTTCTTTATTCAGGGTTTCCAGTTGAGTGTATACATTTAGCTTCATATTCAAATAATCAATTAACTTTGAAGACTTTAGATAAAATTGAGAACTATGGTATAAAAACATATATTCCAAGTCAAAAAGTCAACTATATATTTTTTAAATCAGGAATGAACTCTGAAAAGCAGAGCCAAAACAGAAGTTTCTTACAGAAGTTTCTCTCTGAAATGGATAGAATCTTAATTTTTTAAAATTTTTAGTAGATTCAACATGTCCCCTGTACTCTTTTCTCACAAATTATAAATAGGCAAGACTTTCTTTAGAAAGTTGAGTTATTCTAAATTCTGAATCAATGGGGAACAAATACAAGGGATGTTTCAGAGGTTTTATATCAAGAAGTACTACCAGTCAGAAGTGTTAAGATATTTACCAAAGAAAACTTAGGATTTAAAAATTAAAAATTTTTGCTTTTTTAGAAATAGAAATATTCATTGTCATAGATACTTAAAGAAATGATAAACAGTTCAGAAAACATTTAGATATAGATTGGTTTTATTTTTTAGTATCATTGAATTACTACTTTAAGCTTATCATAGGAATTCTAAAAATTATCATTTCCCCTTTTATAACAAATCTTCATTACTAAAAAGTGATTTTTGAAAAACAAAATTTTGATATTTTTCAAAAATAGAGATAAGTACTTTCACTTATCTTTTAAACCTGCTCAGTCTATGCTCATTGTACCAAATATTCAGATTTACTTTTCATTGTTTTATGCTAGTACCTAAAAGAATGAATTCATATATCATATTGATTTATAAAAATAAGAACTCTCTGTTAAAGTATCATGAACAACCTGTCATTTTACCATATCATTATTATTTTGCTTATTGAATTGTAAGGATTAATCATGTCCAAGAAGAAAATAGAACATAATGAGAGTAGATCTATGACACTGGAGTAGGAAAATGAATTACATGATATTATAGTGCCAATAACAAATCACCCACAGTGACAGACTATGACTTTTGCCATTTTTAAAATCAACAAGTTGGACTAGGCATTCTAGCAAGGATAATAAGGTCCCGAATGTTGGCTCCTGCTGGCCTGTACAAATAGGAAATTCATACTGGATAACATACAACATGATTTCCTCTCCAAAGAAGGTGTCCATGTTAGAATCATCTCCAGCAGAAAGCTCTGGTTCATGTTGCCTTGCTAGCTGGTAACAAAAGATACCATCATAAACTCTGGAGCTTTGGTTATTTAATTTTATTTATACATTCAATACAAATTTCAAAATATTTGCCTAGCTACTTTCAGGTGATTTGTAGGCTGGTCTTTTAGAAAGACATTTAATCTATATGCATTTGAACTCCAATAAAAGAATATATTTGTGAAGAATTTGGCGATTACTATGAAATTGCCTTTGGTTGTCTTTTTTTCCATAAGGAATTCAAAATGAAAAAAGTGAAGATGATATTTGCAATAATGTGTCACTTATAAGCTTATTTTTTGAAGAAAATAAAATATACAAAACTACAAGTAGGTTTTTTTTTTTTTTTGAGAGAGAGAGAGAGAGAGAGAGAGAGAATTTTTTAATATTTGGGTTTTTTTTTAGTTTTTGGTGGACACAACATCTTTATTTTATTTTTATGTGGTGCCAAGGATCGAACCCAGTGCCCTGCGCATGCCAGGCGAGTGTGCTACCACTTGAGCCACATCCCCAGTCCAACAAGTAGTTTTAATATCAATTAAGTATTATACTTTAAAGGATTGTTAGGCCTAGATGATAAACTCTATTTCACCCAGAATATTTTTATTTCTGCAAGATATGTGTATATTTATACCAATAAAACTACACCAAAAATTTGTCACTATATTTGATTAGAGAAAGGAACGTGGAGGACCATGCAGAGCACGTCTTATGAACCAGGCCCAGATTTGGCCCCCATCACTCCTGCCCCTCCCATCCTCTTTCTTTTTAGTCTGAATTCAATCATGTGGCCACACCTAGCTGCAAGGGAGTCATGGAAACATAGTCTAATTGTGTGCTACTTATAGTTGTGTGACAATTTTATAGTGTCATTTTCAAATTCAAAAGAGTGAGCCTCAAATAAATGATATACATTTGTTACTAAAAGAAAGATATTGTTGTAGAATGTAGTAGAATTGTGGTTTAGTTAAAAAAGATAAGGGACTTGAGAGTTAGCCTATGCTTGAATCCTTACTGTCACTACCTCACTTAAAAGTCATGCTTTTAAGTTATTGAACTTTTCTCAGCTTCACATTTTTTCCTTTATAAAATAGAGGTAGCAACTTTTGTATTGTTTTGAGGACTAAATATGAAATGGGTATCACAATATGTGGTACACAGCATATGGACTCAGTGTTATCTTTGGTAATATTTTTTGAATGTTTTAAATTTAAAATATGTCATTTCTTTTACAGGAACACCAGATGCATTTTCCCAATTACTCACCTGCCCATATTGTGATAGAGGCTATAAACGCTTTACCTCTCTGAAAGAACACATTAAATATCGTCATGAGAAGAATGAAGATAATTTTAGTTGCTCCCTGTGCAGTTACACCTTTGCATACAGAACCCAACTTGAGCGTCACATGACATCACATAAGTCAGGAAGAGATCAAGTAAGTGCAATGGCCAAGAGTTCACTAACTTTCCAAATTTGAGGAACTCAACCCTCAGTGAAAGGCAAGGATTTTCATATATTTCGAAGTGAAAAGGATGTACTAGACACTGTCTTGACTGAAACCTTATAAAAATGAAAGTGATAATTGTAGTTTTCATTTCCAGGTAAGATATTATCTTGTTTTGCTTATATCATAACTAAAACTCCTCAGAGGTTAGGTTTTGGTTGCATTCTACTAAAATGTTGAGTGTAGAAAAATAGTGGTTAAATAAACTACATGACCAATTTGAGAAGACAAATTTTTAAAGATTAATTTTCTTTTAACCAGTGACTATTAATCCTCAGAAAGTGATTCATTCTTTTCCTATAGTGAGAGACTATAACTCCTCTAAGAATCTAAAGTGTATAGTTTTTATCCTAAAGACTCAGTTTTCGTATGATTGTTCTGATTCGGTGTCACTGTGTCCCATTTTATAGAAGCATACACTAAGAGTATTTTGTAACTCTTAAGTTACATTTAAATTCTTGGCTCTGTTTTTAGGATTAAAGCCAATGACTGATTATCCTTTTTTAACAAGCTCCTTATAGCTACCATGTATCAATGATCAACTTAATATTAATTTAACTTGAAGCAGAAAACTGCCTGCCATGTCTAAGAAACAGCAAGGAGATAAGTGTGAATAAAGGAAAGAAAGATAGGTGAAACCAGAGAAGTACTGGGGGCCAGATGATATAAGCTGTTATGCAGGGTAAGATAAAGATTTAATTTTATTCTAAATTGTGATAGGAAAATTTTGAAGGATATTGGATTTTTTTTAAGGAACCACTTTTTAAGGAACCACTGATTATTGGATGGAGACAGAGAGAAAAGAATGGAAGCAGGGGAAATATTTAGTGTTTTGATATAATCCAGGACAGAGGTTGTATGGCAGACATGACATAGTGAAGGATTTTGGATTGAATCTACATTCAGATGGCTTACAAGGATTGGTTCAGGGTATTAAGGGGAAGAGTAATCAAAGATAATTCCAAATATCAAGGCTAAGCAATAACTGAATGAGGTTTCTATTCACAAAGGTAGGAGATGCTAGAGACGGAGATAATTTGCTGGAGGGAAATTAATAAGAGTTTGGTATAAATCATGTTAAGTTTCATCTGCCTAGTACCTTACAGTTGACATTATCAAAGAAGCAGCTGGTGATGCAAGTCTGTAGAGAACTGTGCTCTCATAAGATGAATTGAAGGGTGTCTGACTGAATACATCTGAAATGAAATACATACAAATGAAAATTTGAGAAACCGTGAAGAAAGCTATCATAATCACATGTGGATGAAAAAAAGGAACATATTTTTAAAAACCATCAGATTAAAGTACATTTTGGAAATATCAAACATAAAAAAGAGAGGATTATAATACTGGTGAAAGCCCAGGCTTTTCTTCTCTTCAATACCTTTTTCTTCTGTTGAGTAACTGTGCTTTAGATAGATTCTTAAATATTCATGGACTTGATTATCTCTAAATTAGAATATAGACAAGATAATCTCTAGTTCCTAGTAGAGTACATATTACTTTATTTTTGTTCAATACTATATTGCTTCGTTAAGTATGACTCTAATACTTTAAATTAATCTAGATTTTTCCCTGTGTCAGAACTCTGTTCCCACTGTCACCATCCTTTTGGGTAATAATTTCAAATGTTATATTTTTGTGACTGCAATTTGAGAACTTTAAGAATCAAAACAGTCATCAGACTCACTCAAAATATTACTTTAAACACATTGGATAGTCTTTATGTCTAAAGTTCTTTTGCTTTACAAATAAAATACCAATTTTCTCTTACAGAGACATGTGACGCAGTCTGGGGGTAATCGTAAATTCAAGTGCACTGAATGTGGAAAAGCTTTTAAATACAAACACCACCTAAAAGAGCACTTAAGAATTCACAGTGGTAAATATTTGTTTTATGTCTGCATACTGAATATCAGCATGTGATAATAAATAAATCTAAGCTAATTTGATCTTACATATATGATCAAAAACTACTTTTCTTTTTAGTATAAAGACTAATATGGAGAAATTTTCTTTTAATAAGTGGTATTGTATTATCATTTAACCTTTGACTAAAGTATATGAAGTTAATATAAAATGACACATACTCCAAATTTCCTAATCAGAAGATAATATATCATGTCTTAGCCAGTATAGCCTAAGACTACTTAATCATTCTTGTGAATGTGAATTTTATTGCCCCTTTTGTAAAGAGTTGAGATTTTAGAAGGAAATAAGGAGGTGAAAATGGCCTTTATAGAAGGAAGTTAGAAATGGAACTCAAGATGAGAAAATCATGCAGAGGTGATATAGAGTTAGTGAGCGAGGCAACATGAGGGGAAAGAGAACTACAGCACTGGTGAGACTCTTTTTAGTTACACATGAAGGTAGAATCCATTTTAACATAATTATAAAAGTATGGAATATATCTTATTCTAATTCAGTCTCCAGTATCTCTCCTTGCCCTTCCCTCCCCATCACCCTGCTGCTTTCCCTCTAGTGATCTTTCTGCCATTTACCCATAGTTATATTTTAAATGATTTCTTATGTATTGATATACACAACGGTGAGATTCACTATGATATGTTCATATATGTACACAGGAAAGTTATTTCAGATTCATTTCATTTTGATAGGTTTATAAAGCTTATCAGTACCTTTGGCTTTAAAGTAAGTATTGGGTAAACTTTTCCTCACATTGATAAAGTATCAATGTAATTCTGAACAATAAGAATAATGAAAACTAGGGACTGGGGTTGTGGCTCATTGGTAGAGTGCTTGTCTAGCACTTGTGAGGCTCTGGGTTTGATCCTCAGCACCACATAAAAATAAATAAAGAAATGTCCAACTACAATTAAAAAAAAGAATAATGATAACTAGAATTTGTTGAATACTTGTGGCCACTTGTTAATTATTTGCATACATTAACTTTTATAGTTCTCAAATAACCCTAAGATGTTCATTCTGTTATTTTGTGTGTGTGTGGGGGGGGAGGGGATTGAACCTAGGACCTTACCGTGCTATTATTTCTCTTTTTTAAAATCTTTTTTTTAAAACTTTAATTTGTTATATATGACAAAAGAATGCATTATAATTCATATTACAAAATTAGAGCACAGTTTTTCATATCTTTTGGTTGTACACAAAGCAGAGTCGCATCCTTCGTGTCTGCATACATGTACTTAGGGTAATAATGACCATCACATTCCACCATCTTTCCTACTCCTGTGCCCCGTCCTTTCCCCCCTTCCCTTTTCCCCTTTTCCCTATCTAGAGTTCATTTAATCCTCCCATTCCCCTTATTTCTCTTTTTGTTGATCAGAAGAGAACTTAATTAACTTGTTCAGGATCACTCAGCTAATACATGGCAAAGTCGGAACTCTGGTGGAAGCATCCTGATTCCGTTGTCATTGCCTTACCCACTGTACTTCTTAATTTCCTCTATTATAAAGAAATGTCATGGATGCTTATCTTCCCCATATCTCTATAGGAAAAGACTCATGCGGCCCATCTAAAACTGTTATTAGATCATTTAAAATAGAGATATACTAAACATATTCCTTCTTTTACCCCCATTAGAGACTTTTTATCTGATGGCATTTTGAGTATTGAATCCTATTCCAGGAATTGCTTTAGAAAGATATTGATAAACTGCAGAATATCCAGAGGTAGGCTTAACAGCAGGTAAGGGTTTTGAAAACTATGTCCTGTGAGGATTGTTTGAAAGACCTGGACATATTTAATCTACACAGGAAGATTCACAGAGAAGCTCTGTATCAATTTGAAGGTCTTATTATTCTATAATAGAATAAGTTAGACTTATTTTGTGTGACATCAGAAAAGCAAACTAGGTCATGAAAATATGCATTATAGCAAGCCAACTTTGGCTTAGTTGAGGACTGAGTAGATTTTAAAAGAATCACTAACCTTTGTTAAGGCCACACTGAGAGTTTTGCTATAGCATTTCATAACTCTCTAACATAATCCAGTGAAAATGTGTCTACATTTACATACCAAAATACTGAAGCTTGGAAAGTTTAAGAAAATAATATACGTGTGAGTCACAATTTGACTTCTGCAGAACCTGTCTAGGCTGTCTTCCATAGGGCTATCCTGTAGTCAATATCCTCCCCTTTATTTCACTAAGGAGCTTCAGCAAAGACTAACTGATGTCAAAAATAATATAGAGGAACTCTTTATTGAAAGGAGTCTTTCTAGAGGGATTCTTAGATCCCTTCCATTTCTAATATCTGATTCCTCAAATACCTATATTTCTGATAAGACATAACTCACTAGTTTTAATGTTGTAGCATTACACTTAAAACATTAGCAGAGCTTACACTGACTTTCTCCACTGCTTTTCCTGTTAACTCTTAAAAAGAAAGGAGGATTGTGAATATACTGTGTATACAACACTATGAAAAATTGTGCTCTATATATTTAATAAGAATTTAATACATTCTGTTGTCATATATCAATAAAAAATAAATAAAAATAAAATAAAAAATAAAGGAGGATATAAGGGGCCTTATTGTAATGTTGGGGAGACAAATAAGAATCATCACATTTCATAGTTCTACAGTTAACCATCATTCATCCTAAAAATGTTTAATGAGTATCTTTGCTGTACTGTAATAGGTATAAAGGTTAAAAGGAAAAAAGGACAGAGGTTCTCACCTTATTGGAGCTGATAGTCTTTAAGTATAAATTATAAATTAATGAACTGAATTTGAACTAAAATGAACAGTTAGGTTTGTATGAAGATATTCTTTTTATCTTAGTTCTTCTCAAAATTATCCAAGTATCTCTGATGACCAAGGGGAATAAGTACCTTGTGTCTCTGGGGAGTCTAAAATAGCAGCTGAAAGGAGGTCTCCACATGCAAGAAATTTCTTTGACATCATGTGTCCTGATAATTCATCCAGATGTTATATTTTGCCCTTGCTATAAATCTGTTTTCATATACAAATAATGTTTTACTATAACCGCTCACTAAAATTGACACTCTGGTAGGCTTTGTGTACCACTAGAACTTATCTCTGGGGATACATCTATTCCAGTTTAATAAGTAAGTAATTATAGGAATATCTTATATTGAAATTTTCCTCCATGAGGAAAGATATTTTCAAGGAAACCATATGGATATTGGAATTTTATAAACCAAGGATAAATATCCATAGTCTTATGGGAGATTGTACTTACTTTTGTTTGTTCTAATATTAATTTATCCTAAATATAGTTGTTGAATAGAGTGAAATACTGAAAATTATGTAGGTTGGTGAGACAGGATATAAAAATATTACTTGAAAGGGTAGAATTAATTATTTTTGACATTTGAGTATTATTTGAAGTGAAAGGAGGACAGAAATGTTATATACATATATGCTAAGAAGATTCCCTGATTAGCACATGTAGTTCAGAAAAGATTTTATTACTGTTGATAATATTTATGTCATTGTTTAACTTAAAATGATGATTCTAAATAAAATACATGGTGCCAGGCATGGTGGCACACGCCTGTAATCCTAGCAGCTCTGGAGGCTGAGGCAGGAAGATTGTGAGTTCAAAGCCAGTCTCATCAACTTAGCAAAGCTGTAAGCAACTCAGTGAGACCCTGTCTCTAAATAAAATTTAAAAAGAGGCTGGGGATGTGGCTTAGTAGTTAAACAGCCATGGGTTCAATCCCCAGTAGCAAAAAACAACAAAAAAAAAAAACCATACATGGTAATTTTGCTTTTTAAACTTGATATTTCTTACTTTAGAGAAAATTTGGATACATAAAAATGTATATGTAATAATTGACTACGCATATAAATTGTTTGTTTGTTTGTTTGTTTAGGAGAGAAGCCATATGAATGCCCAAACTGCAAGAAACGTTTTTCCCATTCTGGTTCCTATAGCTCTCATATAAGCAGTAAGAAATGTATCAGCTTGATGCCTGTGAATGGGCGACCAAGAACAGGTCTCAAGACATCTCAGTGTTCCTCACCATCTCTTTCGGCATCACCAGGCAGTCCCACACGACCACAGATACGGCAAAAAATAGAGAATAAACCCCTTCAAGAACAACTTTCAGTAAACCAAATTAAAACTGAACCTGTGGATTATGAGTTCAAACCCATAGTGGTTGCTTCAGGAATCAACTGTTCAACCCCTTTACAAAATGGGGTTTTTAGTGGTGGTGGCCCATTACAGGCAACCAGTTCTCCTCAGGGTGTGGTGCAAGCTGTTGTTCTGCCAACAGTTGGTTTGGTATCTCCTATAAGTATCAATTTAAGTGATATTCAGAATGTACTTAAAGTGGCAGTAGATGGTAATGTAATAAGGCAAGTTTTGGAGAATAATCAAGCCAATCTTGCATCCAAAGAACAAGAAACAATCAATGCTTCATCTGTACAACAAGGTGGCCATTCTGTTATTTCAGCCATCAGTCTTCCTTTGGTTGATCAAGATGGAACAACCAAAATTATCATCAACTACAGTCTTGAGCAGCCTAGCCAACTTCAAGTTGTTCCTCAAAATTTAAAAAAAGAAAATCCAGTCCCCACAAACAATTGCAAAAGCGAAAAGTTGCCAGAAGATCTTACTGTTAAATCTGAGAAAGATAAAAGCTTTGAAGGAGGAGTGAATGATAGCACTTGTCTTCTGTGTGATGATTGTCCAGGGGATCTTAATGCACTTCCAGAATTAAAGCACTATGACCTAAAGCAGCCGGCTCAGCCTCCACTCCCTGCCCCAGAAGCTGAGAAGCCTGAATCCTCTGTTTCATCAGGTACGGGAGATGGCAGTTTGTCTCCTAGTCAGCCACCTTTGAAGAACCTGCTGTCTCTCCTAAAAGCCTATTATGCTTTGAATGCACAACCAAGTGCAGAAGAGCTCTCAAAAATTGCTGATTCTGTAAACCTACCACTGGATGTAGTAAAAAAGTGGTTTGAAAAGATGCAAGCTGGACAGATTTCAGTGCAGAGTTCTGAACCATCTTCTCCTGAACCAGGCAAAGTAAATATCCTTGCAAAGAATGATGATCTGTCTCAATCCACAAATGAAAATGAATCCCAGGACAGCACAAGTCTACACAGTCCTCCGAAGATGACTAATTCTCCAGTTTTAACAGTAGGATCAACTGTCAATGGTTCCAGAAGTAGTACACCATCCCCATCACCTCTAAACCTTTCCTCAGCCAGAAATACACAGGGTTACTCATACGCAGCAGAGGGCGCACAAGAAGAGCCACAAGTAGAACCTCTTGATCTTTCACTACCAAAGCAACAGGGAGAATTATTGGAAAGGTCAACTATTACTAGTGTTTACCAGAACAGTGTTTATTCTGTCCAAGAAGAACCCTTGAACTTGTCTTGTGCAAAAAAGGAGCCACAAAAGGACAGTTGTGTTACAGACTCAGAACCAGTTGTAAATGTAATCCCACCAAGTGCCAACCCCATAAATATTGCTATACCTACAGTCACTGCCCAATTACCCACAATCGTGGCCATTGCTGACCAGAACAGTGTTCCCTGCTTACGAGCACTAGCTGCCAATAAGCAAACTATTCTGATTCCCCAGGTGGCTTACACATATTCAGCTACAGTCAGCCCTGCAGTCCAGGAACCAGCCCTGAAAGTGGTCCAGCCAAGTGGAAATCAGGTAAAAAAAACAAACAAACAAAAAACTTCCTTAACCTGGTTGGCAAAATGTTAGCTTGACTAATTTCAGTTAACTTTTTCTAATTAAAAAAAAAATCTGTCACTGTAGAGTCAAGTTATTTCTAAAGGAAAATAAGTCTACATTAAGTTTGCAGTAACTTTTGTGACAAGTCTTCAATTACTTACTAATCCAGGTTTTGGTATCAACTAACATTTGTGTTACTCTACTGTGAAAAATGATTTAAATATCATAGCTGGAGACCTATTTGAAGTAAGAAACAAAGAGAAAAGAAAAATTAGAATGCTCATTAATTGGATTTCTGTTTTTATATTTAAATTCTCAAAATTAGTATTAGTTTCTGCCTTGATTATGATTATTAATAAATGAAAATATGTTCACACCAGACTTAGCCATCAGTTTTTATGTAAATAACACCTCTGTTTATGAAAAGCTTTAATTAAACACAGAACTCATCTGATATGTTTACTGATCATTTTATAAGCCATGAATAAATAAATGTTCAGTCATAATTAATATATGACTGTGAATAAATAAGGCTGTGAATCTACATATGTATTTTTCTCTTTAATATTCTTGAAAAGTTCATGATAGTTTTGGATAGAGCTCTGTTGTGTCTTATTGTGCAGGATTTTTCTGTGTAACTAACCTTAAGTCTCCTCCACCTTTTTTTTTCAATTATTGTTCGATTGAATCAAATACAATTTAATGCAGATACTTTCTATGAGTAGATGCCAACTGTAATAATTTCAACATCCTGCTCAAATGTATATTCGCTGCTTTTTTTCCCCTTAAATATTGACAGATTGAGTTTCCTGAAATTACAACTCCTAAAAAAAAATTTCTACATGACCAGTGAATTCATCTAAATTTTTAGGTATAGAACATTTTGTACCTTTTTGAATAGAATAAAGAGGTGCTTTTAACATCTCATGTAATCATATGTCAAGATCAAATACTAATGAAAGTAGAGTTACCACAGCAACCATTGGCAGCTCACAAATGATCCAGGCAAATGGCTGCACCTCTCCTGCCTCACAGAGCCATAAGCAATGTATAATACTTTTTAACTTTTATGAAATTTGTGGATTTAGAGACAATAGAATGGAAGACCCTAGAAAAAGCACAAAGATCTTAGCCAAATTAATTCCTCAACAGGCTCCCTGAAGTATGATCGTTATCATCTAGAAAACCTTCTGCTCAAAATTATCTGCCTGAATATTTTTATGCTGCAGGAATTTAGATTCTTTTTGTCTAGCAAGTACTACTTTTTAAAAATATAAGCTCTATCCAGTTGTTCTGTCTTTTTTATTGGTTCTTTTTAGTTATACATAACAATAGGATTCATTTTGACATAATTATAAAAGCATGAAATATAATTTATTCTTATTCAGTCCCCAGGACTTCCTCTTTCCTTCCCCTCTTCTTTCTCTCCCCCTGTTCCTTTCATTCTACTAATATTGTGGATATATATGATAGTGAGATTCACTGTAGTGTATTCATGTATGTATACATGAAAGTTAGGTCAGATTCATTCCACTGTCTTTCCCAATCCTATCCCATATCCCTTCCCTTCATTATCCTTTGTCTACTCTGCTGATATTTCTTCTGTTCTTTTTTTTAACCACCCCCCACCTTATTTTGAATTGGCTTCCACATATCAGAGAAAACTTTCAATTTTTGATTTTTTGGGGACTGGCTTATTTCACTTAGCATGATAGCCTCCATTTCTATCCTTTTACTGGCAAATGCCATAAAGTCATTCTTCTTTGTGACTTGAGTAATACTGCATTGTGTATATATACCACATATTCTTTATCCATTCATCTGTTGAAGGGTACCATAGCTTGGCTATTATAAATTGTGTGCTATAAACATTGATAGGGTGGCTATGTCACTATAGTATGCTGATTCTAATCCTTTGGATATATACTGAGGAGTGGGATAGTTGAGTCATATGGTGGTTCCATAGCTAGTTTTCTGAGGAATCTCAATTCTGCTTTCCATAGTGGTTAGATCAGTTTGTAGTCCCACCAATAATGTATGCATGTACCTTTTCTTTACATCCTCACCAACACTTTTTGTTACTAGTATTTTTAATAATAGCCATTCTGACTAGAGTGAGATGAAATCTCAGTGTAGTTTTAATTTTCATTTCTCTAATTGCTAGAAATTTTGAACATTTTTTTAATACAGTTGTTGACTATTTGTATTTCTTCTTTTGAGAAGTATCTGTTTTCTTGCTTCAAAAAAGTAGAGCAAGCCTCTCTTTTCAAGGAGACCACAGAGGCTAGTTCAGAGATCTCTACAAGTTCTAGAGGGTAAAATTTAAAAGCCACTTTTTAAAAACCAAATCTTAATTTATGCTTAGTGAAACCCATAATTTAAAAACAGTAAAGGGAGCAGTTAGAAATTAATTATTAATTAGCAAACTCATAAGCTAAAATTATTTATCATAAAAGTAATGATTTACTTAGTTACTTTACATGGAACCAAGTAAATATTGCCACCCATTTTACATTTTCTTTTTGGGGTCCTTTCTTTTCAGTACCAGTTGAGCATATGGGTTTTGCTGTGGTTTGGCTGTTTATCTCTAGCATCGCTTTTGTCTATATCAACCCCCATCCCCCACAGTCTAGCCCCCACCCTTGTGACCCATCTACAGTAGTGAGCAGTATGTTTGCTGTGGTCAGTTTGTTGAAAGTTTAAAGTAGTTTTTTAACCAGGCTTTGTTTATCTCTTGTTTGTCTTTTAATTTGAAATTTAATCTTACTTTTCACCCTCCCCCTTAGGATGAAAGGCAAGACACTAGCTCAGAAGGAGTATCCAATGTGGAAGATCAGAATGACTCTGATTCTACACCACCCAAAAAGAAAATGCGGAAGACAGAAAATGGAATGTATGCCTGTGACTTATGTGATAAGATATTTCAGAAGAGTAGCTCATTGTTGAGACATAAATATGAACACACAGGTAGGTTAGTGAACACAAAACATGCTGTCCTTTTTAAAAGTGCCTGTGATATGATATACACAATTATTTTGTCCACATCCACTTATGGCAAGTATATACTATATTAATATAAATACAGTAGCCATTAATAAAATTATGGGACCAGTGGGGGAAGTTACAGGGAAATGGAATCAGGGTTCATAGGAGAAAACGATGCTTCATGAGCGCACTCAGCATTGCTGTCTTAGAAAGTCATTGTTTCAGGTATATCTTTTATTTTAGGATAACTTCTGTGTAATAGATTGGGCATGATGATTCTAAGATCCCTTCCAACTCTGAAATTCTTCCACAAAATACACTTCTTGGACTAATTTTGGGATTGGCGAACTATGATTCACAGGCCAAGTTGTGGGCTTCCACCTGTTTTCTATGTCCCGCTAAGAAATTTTTTATATCTTTTTTAATGACTGAAACAAATGAAAAGAATAATATTTATGGCATGTGAAAATAATGTAAAAATCAAATTATAACATTCTTAAATATAATTGTATTGGAACATAGCCATACCCATTCATTTACATGTTGTCTATGACCACTCTCCTGCATCTATAATGGTGGAATTGAATAGCTGAAACAGACCATTTGGGCAGCAAAGCCTAAAGTATTTACTGTGTAACTTTTGCAGAAAACTTTTACCAACTCCTGGCCCAGCCAGTTCCTCTTATCCAGTGGAGTTCTGGTAACTGCTGTTTAAAAACTGGTTCTCTGAAGGGTTAGGGAAGCCCTTGTGTGTAGTGCTTGCAGATTTCTATGGCCTAAATATTCTCACCATGGCTTATTTCAAGTTTGAAATCTGTTTTAAATCATGTTGCAGAATTCCTAATAATTTGCCAATAGACTCCTTCTAGCCAGATGTATCACTCCACTCTTCCTTTTTAGAACAGATTGCTGTATAAAGAACTGGATTTATCATGAGCTCTATAATCCCCTTCCTTCTCTGCCCTCTACCTGCCTTTTTGACTATAGTATCCATATTTTTTTGAAAGTCAACATCCATTTATTATAAAAATGTACATTAAGCATAGAGGGATACATCCTTATCACAGTTACATCCATACACATCTGTTTCACATAAACTCTTTTGATTGTGTATTTTAAATATTTCATGATTAAGAAATATTTAAATATTAAATGTGATTATAATTCATAGTCATATGAGGCAGTTTGCTTGATGTAACTCATTCTCTCAGGAATAAATGTAAATGTACTGAGAAAAATAACCCCAAATTACCCTATATTTGTAAATTTTAGGATTTATTTTTTATTAGTTCTTTTTAGTTATATTATGACAATAAAATCGATTATAATATAATTATACAAGCATGGAAATATCTTATTCTAATTAGGATCCTATCTTTGTGACTGTGCATGATGGTGGAATTCATTTAGGTTTTTTCATATATGTATATTGGAAAATTATGTTAGATCCATTCTACTGTCTCTTCTATTTCTATCTCCCATCCCTTCCCTCATTCCCCTTTGTCCAATCTACTGAACTTCTCTTTTTCCCCTCCCTCACTTTATTGGGTTTAGATTCCATATTTATGCTAATTAGTGAAAGATATCAAGTACTGTTTTCCCTTCTTTAGACTGTAGATTCAAAAGTACATGCAGTGACATTCGGGCAGTTCTTAAAGGTAAAAACTAGTATTACATAAGGGATACCTCTCTCACACAACAAGCCCCTTGTTAAACATTCCTCTAGTTGTTTTCAGTGAGACCCGAGGAAAATTAGAAAATCTTCTGCTTTGGACAAGAGTTAAATATTAGTATGTAACAAAATGAAAAATATATTTGAGAAATATGCTATACCAAAAAATAAAAACAAATCGTTTCTACATTTGTTAGTGTTATGGCTTGATAGCACTGAAGTTTGACTTTATCAGTCCTGATTATAATCCAGTTGTCAGTTTTTTTCATGTCTGGGCAATAGCATTTCTCAAGTTCATGCATTTTCAATAGGGGCAAAGTTGCCCTCAAGGGGCAAAAAAGGGTTAAATATTATAATAATTTGTGGTTTTCTCAAGGACCTCAGTGTATCAATCATGTTTGTATGTGTATGTATGGTATATGTATAAATATATGCCAAAACTCATATATATGAATTTTGGCATATATAAAAAGCATATATGAGGCATTAAAATTTAATTCAGACAAAGGTTGTGACAAGGAAAAAGAAGTTGAAAAGAGTCCTTAAGAAGGAAAGTAAAGAAAAACCAAGTTGAGAAATGCCTGTATCCCTCCTTGCCCTCACAGTGTTCATTGCCAAATATCGAATTAGAGCTTCACATTCCATGTTTTCACATCCCATGTTCACATATTTTTAATATATTGATGGTCATGATGTGATGTTTGCATGTTTAGAATTTAGTCTTATGTATTTCTTATTGACCTTCTCAGAGATGAGACTAAATTCTGATACTAAATGATGACACTAAATTTTCTTGTATGAATGATAAACCAGATTAACATTATACAGAAAAGACAGTTTGGGACCTGGAAGTTTTTAAAACGTGAAACTATAGCCCTCCCCTTCCCACAACCTAAAGTGCTCCCAACACTTACAAAAACTATTAATATCACCATTTGATTTCATAACTTTGTTCTTTCTTGCAGGTAAAAGACCTCATGAGTGTGGAATCTGTAAAAAGGCATTTAAACACAAACATCATTTGATTGAACACATGCGATTGCATTCTGGAGAAAAGCCCTATCAATGTGACAAGTGTGGAAAGCGCTTCTCACACTCGGGATCTTATTCTCAACACATGAATCACCGCTATTCATATTGCAAGAGAGAAGCAGAAGAACGAGATGGCGCAGAGCAGGAAGAGGCAGGGCCAGAGGTCCTGAGGAACGAGCACGCTGGTGCTCGCGCGTCTCCCTCGCAGGTCGACTCAGATGAGAGAGAGAGTTTGACAAGGGAAGAGGACGAAGACAGTGAAAAAGAGGAAGAGGAGGAGGAGGATAAAGAGATGGAAGAATTACAGGAGGAAAAGGAATGTGAAAAACCCCAGGGAGATGAGGAGGAGGAGGAGGAGGAAGAAGAGGCAGAAGAAGAAGAAGAGGCAGAAGAAGCAGAGAATGAGGGAGAGGAAGCAAAAACTGAAGGCCCAGTGAAGGATGATGGAGCTGTGAGTCAAGCAAGCAGCTTAGAACAGAAGGTCAGCGAGAACAGCGAGCAAGTATCTGAAGAGAAGACAAATGAAGCCTAATCGTTTTTCTAGAAGGAAAATAAATTCTAATTGGTAATGAAGTCTGTTCTATATTATCCATGCTTTTCATGGAAACACAGTAACCTGTATACTGTGATTCCTGTTCACTACTGTGTAAAGTAAAAACTAAAATCTTAAAAAAAAAAAAAAATACAAAATACAAAAAAAAAAAACCACTCAAAAAAAAAAAATCCGGGTGTGCCTGAACCTCAGACCTAGTAATTTTTCATGCAGTTTTCAAAGTTAGGAGCAAGTTTGTAACATGAAGCAGATTAGAAAACTTTAATGACTCAGAAAGCAAGATTTAACAGGTTAAAGGAAACTGATTAATTAGATAAGCATCTGGCATTGTTTCATTTTTATCAGTATTATCACTCTTACGTTGGTTTATTCTTACGCTGTACAATTGGGAGAAATTTTATAATTTTTTATTGGTAAACATATGCTAAATCCGCTTCAGTATTTTATTATGTTTTTTAAAATGTGAGAACTTCTGCACTACAAAATTCCCTTCACAAAGAAGTATAATGCAGTTCCAAACCGTGCTAACTACCTTTTATAAGTTCAACGTAGAAGGTAGTAATTTCTAATATTTAGACGTCATAGTGGAGCATATTATCATTTAAAGTGTATTGTTAGCCTTAAGGAAGCAGCCGATAGAAGAACTGAAGTTTCTTACTCATGTGATTTAAAATGGAGTTCACAAGATTGTCGTTGAGTTCTGATTGCAGGGACTAACAGTGTTGATACTGGTAAGGACAGCAGTCGTCAGAATCAGTGTTCGTGATTGTGTTTGAGTACGTGGTAACAAATATGAAGGATATGATATGAAGCTTTGTATCTCCTCTGGCCTTAAGCAAGACCTGTGTGCTGTAAGTGCCATTTCTCAGTATTTTCAAGGCTCTGACCCGCCTTCATTCAGTGTGTGGCCTACAATAACTAGCATTTGTTGATTTGTTTGTTGTATCAAAATTCCCAAATAAAACTTAAAACCACTGACTCTGTCAGAGAAACTGAAACACTGGGACATTTCATCCTTTAACTCCTCAGTATTCATTTTGTGTTAATTGACTTTCAGAATTTCTCTACAGAAATTAAAGGGAAATTTTCTAATCTGCTTTTACCCATGTACTTCCATTTCAGACATGGACATGCCATTGTTATTTGGCTCATAACTATTTCCAAATGTTAGTTATTATGGACCCAATTTATTAACAACATTAGCTGATTTTTACCTATCAGTATTATTTTATTTCTTTTAGTTTATAGATCTGTGCAACATTTTTGTACTGTATGTCTTCAAACCTGGCAGTATTAATACCCTTCTTACTGACATATGTACTTTTAGTTTTAGAAAACTTTTATATTTATGTGTCTTATTTTTATATTTCTTTATTTATTACACAGTGTAGTGTATAATACTGTAGTTTGTATTAATACAATAATATATTTTAGTATGAAAATTTGGAAAGTTGATAAGATTTAAAGTAGAGATGCAATTGGTTCTCTTGCATTGAGATTTGATTTAACAGTGTTATGTTAACATTTATACTTGCCTTGGACTGTAGAACAGAATTTAAATGGGAATGTATTAGTTTTACAACTACAATCAAGTCATTTTACCTTTACCCAGTTTTTAATATAAAACTCTTAAATTTTGAAATTCACTGTGTGACTAATAGCATGATGCTCTGCAGTTTTATTAAGAGATTAGCCTAACCATAAATCTCTCATTTCCTTAGCAAGCCAAATTAGGATTACCTTATATAAACAGTGTTGGGAACAATGTTTAACATTTTGTGCCAATTTGTTCCTGTATTCATGTATGTAAGTTACCAACCTGACTCTTCATTTTTAAGTTCCTTGTTACACCATGGTCATTTTCTAGTTTTTTACCAGACTCCCCCATCTCACAATAAAAAGCATCAACAAGCCTGACCTGCTGTCATTCTTTTAATCATTGTCAAGGTTTTCTTTGGGAAATGAGGTTTTCTGTTGTTATCCTGTACTTGATTCATCCTGAGCTCACTTTGGTAACACTAAATGTTTTAGACACTCACCACTAAATCATGGATTTTCTTGTGACTGAATGTTTTGGGATAGGTCAGATTAGACAGCTGAAGTCCTCCTGTGCAGAGGTTGCTCCTCCTTACTGAAACCGTTGCCCCATCCCTACTCCAGATCCCATGGCTTCTTCTTCTTGGTTCACTCCAGGGCACTGGGTTTAGATGCCTCTGTTCTGTACTCCCGCAGCTCCTGTCCTTTCTCAACTGTAGCTCCTGCACTGTTATTTATATTCCTTCCCCACTGGGAACAGGGACCATGTCTGCCATAGTCAATTCTAACAGGCCCACGCCCAGCAAAATGCCTAGCAGTAGTTGGTACGACAAATATTTGTTGAATGAAAATATAATTTGCATGTTTACAGAGCTCAGCTATGCTTTCAGTATTTGTTTTGCCTCTAATCCCAGAATATATATGTTAAATGATTCCAGTAATTTAATGACTTTCTTATTGAGATCTTATTAAACCCTGGGCATAACAGACAAAATAAATTGTTCCTTCTTTTTCTGTTGCCTTACTGTTATGATTTATTCAGTTTATCTCAAGGTGTCTTCCGGATGCTTAATTTCATGGTACGGAGCACAGGCCCTGAAGGCTTGTGGATACTACCACTCCCAGAAGGAGTAGTTAGGACCCACTTCCCATACTAGGGCCCCACATTCCTAGATTCTCATTACCATGTTGCCTGATTTCCTCTCTCACTAAGAACAGCTCTCCACAATAAGCAAATTCACTTGATAGAAATAGGAAATAAAATAAATAATCCTTACAAGGCATCTATCTAGTAATCACTGTGATGTAAACCTCAAAGAGGCAGTACTTGATCCTTATGGATAGGTGGCTAATAAAGGAATTTAGAAATTATCAAATGTTCTTAAAAAAGTAAAATAGATATGTATCTTTCCCAGTATTCTATCAAATCACATAATGACAGCAATATTAATACTAGTCATGTTATTTATTTGTGCCATGAACAGGTGTTTTGCTACAATTATCAAAAATTTTCAGGTTGGGGCTGTAGCTCAATGGAAGAGTGCTTGCCTAGTATGCATAAGGCCCTGGGTTCAATCCCCAGCACCCCTAATTTTTTTCAGAAAACCTTAGATACATGAATAAAAGCTGTGTGTTGGTGAACACGTACATAATAAGTTACAGAAAAAGGATTTAAACACAGATCTGTCTGACTCCAAAATCCATCCTCAAGTAGCCTGTATCACATTTCATGTCAGAACAGTTTATATTATCTGCATTTAATTTCAGGCTTACTCTTAAAGAATATTAATAGAAAATACTCATAAAATCAATATACATTTCACATCATGGTAGAAAACACAGGGGTGATGGTTATGAGATTTTTCAAATTGGTGTGCAAGGATAAAAAAACAGCTTTAAAAAGAGTACTATTGAAGTGTAATGATTAAATTGATATAGAAATTAATTTTAGAATACATTTCACCTCTTAAAATAAATGAATGTTAATATATAAATTTTGTCTGTGACAAAAAAAAACATGGAAATTCCTCTGCTCTAGTAAACAAAAATATATTTTATTCAACAGCAGCCAGAATATACTTAGGGCTGTATAATATAATAGGGCTGTAACACAACACTCAAAATTTAAAAGATAACAAGTATTTCCTCTTGACTAAAAAAAAACTAGAGAAAACATCTGGAAAATTACATAAATTATTGAAAATCAACAGCATTAAGTACTCCATGGATGTTAATAAAAAGAGCTTCTAAAATATGAACTGAATGGTAATGTCATATATTAAAACTTGTAGTATGCAACCAAAGCAGTGCATATAAGAAAATTTATATAACTCATGTTAGAAAGAAACAAAGGACTTGATCATCTTAAGCTTATACGTTAAAAAACTAGAAAGAAGAACAAAATTAAAACTCAAAACCAGCAGCAGGAAGGCAATATTAAGGAGGAGAAAAATAAATGGTAACAGACACTAGTATGGCAATATGTAAATCAATGGATGTGTAACTGATGTGATTCTGCAATCTGTATATGGGGTAAAAATGGGAGCTCATAACCCACTTGAATCAAATTGTGAAATATGATATATCAAGAACTATGTAATGTTTTGAACAGCCAACAATAAAAAATTTTTTTAAAAAAATGGAATAAAATCGGAATCGGAATCTTTGAAAAGATTACCAAAACTGATGAACCTCTAGCCAGATAGACCAAGAGGAAAGGAGGTGATGTCTTCATGGATCCTACAGAGTAAGAGGACAACAAGGAAGCAAAAACTTCATGCCAATAAATGTTGACAGTTTAGATGAAAATGACACTTCTTGAAAGACCCAAACTACCAGAAAGAAATAGATAATATGAATCAAAAAATAAATAGATTTCAACTTAGGAATCTCCCCATAAAGAAAATACCCAGCCCAAAATGCCTCCACTACTAAACATTTAAGATGTACGTTGCACCGATTCTACACAAACTCACCAAGAAGGTAGAGGAAAAAACGTTGTCTACCTTCGTGACAGTTCAAGAGACAAAACTAACAAAAATATCCCTCATGACCATGGATGAAAACATCTTTGTTTTAACAAAGTATTAAGATATTAACTTGATAGGTTTATCAAAAGGAGAATCATCATGATCAAGTGATCCAGGATTACAAGACTGACTGAGCATTCAAATATCAATTAGTGTAGCTAGATGTGGTGTGCACCCCTGTAATCCCAATAATTTGGGAGGCTGAGGCAGGCGGATTGGAAATTAGAGATCAGCCTCAGCAATTTAGCCAGACTCTGTCTCAAAAAGGGCTAGGGATTTTGCTCAGTGGTAGAATGCCCCTGAGTTCAATCCCAAGTACTGGAAAAAAAAAAGTCTAATTTACAGAGTAAAATGGTGAAAAAAAGTATCTCAATAGCTCAATAAATGTAAAATAAGTATCCAGAAAAAAATCAGTATCAAGTCACAAAAATTATCAGTTGTCTGGGAATGTCAACCTGTTCAACAGCCTTTACAGAAATTCAACCACTAGCATCATACAGAGTGAAAGGTTAAGCACTTCCTAAAATTAGGAACAAAGCAAGAATTTCTGCTCTCACTTTTACTAAACACTGTTTAAGATCTCACCCAATGCAATATGACAAAAATAAATGAAAGGTATACAGATTACAGGGTGAAGGGTGGAAACTGTATTTGCAGACGAAGTGGTTGTCTACAAAATTGTGCTCTATATGTGTAGTAAGAATTGTAATGCATTCCGCTGTTGTATATAAATTTTAAAAATTAATTAGAAAAAAGAAAATAAGGAATCCCTGGGTGGGGAGGTAGAGCAATTAGAAAAGATGACCGTAGAGTTGCAGGATACAAGGACATGCAAAAAGCAATTGTACTCTTACTAAATAGTACTAACAAAAGTGGAAGTTTACACTTAAAACAGTACCATTAAAAGTGTGAAACTCTTAGGGATAATTTAACTACAGTCAAAACCTGTGCACTAGAAACTACAAAATATTGTTGAAAGAAATTAAAATGCAAAGAAAATGAAGAAATATTCCGTGGATCAGAAAACTAAATATCATTAAGATATATTCTACCCCAAATTTATCTACTGACTCAATACAATTCCAGTCAAAATCTGAAGCCAAATATTTGTAGAAACCGATAGGCTGATTCTGCATTTATGTGGGAATCAAAAGACTTCAAGTAGACAAAACAATTTTGAAAAAAACAAACATGGAGGATTTACACTACCTGGTTTATAGTGTTATTTTTATAAAGCTTCAGTAGTTAAACAGCGTTGAATTGAGCTTGAGAACAGATGTTGATCAAAAAACAATTAAAAGAGTTAAGACCCACACACACAGCCTCAGTTGCGTTTGCCAGAGGTTCCATGATGAGATGATGAAGTGATTGTCCCAAAGTGGTACTGATAGTAGAAATTCAGGTAAACGAATGTGATCTTCATACCACATACAAATTTGATTCAAAATGGGTTATATGTTTAAATATAAGAGCTAAGTTTATACAACTTCAAAAAGAAAATGAGTTATTTGTGATTTTAGGTTAGGCAATGATTTCCAGATAAAAAGCATGAATTGCAGAATGAAAGAATTGATGCATTGGACTTTATCAAAATTTAACCTTTTTCTCTTCAAAAGATCTTGCTAAGAAAATAAAATCTCAGAATTGGAAAAAATATTTACAAAACATGCATATGTATATACCAAAGAGAGGTTAAAATATAGGTACACACACACAAAAAAAAAGAAAAAAAAACTATATATAAATGTTCAGAGAAACCTAATAGCCAAAAGAGTGGAAAAAGCCTAATGTCCAATCAAATGATGAATAAACAAAATGTGGTAAATATACAATATAGAATAATATTCAGCATTAAAAATAATGAAATGCTGATATAAGGTATGACATAATGAACCCTGAAACAATTATGCTAAGTGAAAGAAATTAGTCACCAGACTATATATTTTGATTCCATTTATATAAAATGTCCAAAATATGCAAATTTTTATAGAAATGAAAGAGATTCTGGTTGCCTACGACAGGCAGCAAGGGAGAGAATGGAGAATAACTGCTAATGGGTATGTTTCTTTTAAGGGTATGAAAATGTTGTAGATTATGGTGATAGTTGAACAACTCTGAATATACTAATTCATGTAATTATGCATTTTAAATGGGTAATATGTGTGAACTATATCTCAATAAAGCTGTTAAAATATGTGTATATACATGTTGAATATATACAGAATATTATAAGGACTTTTACAACCCAAGGCCATTTTTAGAATCAAAAGAATTTTAAAGACACTTCACCAAGTAAGGTATATGGAAAGAAATAAACAAATGAAAAGATCAACATCCTTATGGAAAGAGAAA